GGGTTCTGAGGAAGGGTCACCGGACCCAGAGCGTTAACTCTGTTCTTTCCTTCACAGATGCTGTCAGACCTGCTGAGCTTTTCCAGAGATTTCTGCTGTTTAACTGCACCCCTACCTCTGGTGTCCCTCACATCTGGTTCTAGTTCCATGTGCCATCCCTGGAACAGCCCACCACTTGCAGGATGGCCCACTGAAAGACCACCATCCTTGGCGCCAGTGCCATCTTTAAAAGGTCACTGGATGACCAAGTAGCTAGCAACCTGAAGCTGCCCAGCTCGCTGATGGACATGGTGCCAAGATGTCTGGGAAGGGGCAGATGGCATTGGACATCCTTGGTGATGGACACGGTGCCAAGATGTCTGGGAAGGGGCAGATGGCATTGGACATTCTGGTGGAGACGGTGGTTCAGAGGAGGGGCCATCCTCTTCCTGGAGAAGTGGCAGAGGAGGCTACACTACCACCAGACCCTGGTCCAATATTGCTGCCCAGTTTGGTGCCATCTCCACTCTCGGTGGGATGCTCTTCGGAGGGTCGGTGCAGACTTTGTGGGCCGAATGGCCTGTACCTGCACTGTAGGGATTCTGTGAATAACTCATCTATCTTACAATGATGCCAATCAGAAAATCAACACCTTTCTGGAAGTAGGAAAGGAACTTTATCTTGATTCTGTTTTGTATTCTTCTTGAATGTTAGCAAATGCTGTGTTTGGGGACAGTGTGGGAAGCGAAGGTTTCAATTGGCTATGTATATTTCTTTAAATCATTCCAATTTTGGTTTTAGACGACGAGGCGTTTGAGACGGAGGGTCAGAGGGAGTTACAGATGGTCGCTGGTGGGCAATGGATGATCCACGACGAGTTGAAGAAGCTGCGAGAGACATTAGACACAGCGTTTGAGGAACAGAGGCGACGCTCTGAGCACCTCAGCAGGATGGGCAAGGACGAACGTACCACCACAGCACGAGGGCAGCCAGAGCAGGTAAGTGGCAAAGTAGACCTTCTCCAAATAAGTATCGCCTTCCTATTTCACGCAAGGCACGGCCAGCAGAGACTCAGCAGGTCCAGAGACCGCCCGTTTATGCCTGTGGGACAATATGTGCTACCTTTCGCACCAATGCCTTTATCAACAAGTGAATGCTTGTTGGAAATCACCTGAAGTAACATTCAGCTCAATAACCGTTAAGCTTGAGCTCGGTTCACCCAGAGCTTTAAGCTTATCCATGTTTTGGTTGCCTCTGGGATTGATGATCCCAAATCCCTGCTGAATGGCCTCCCACTTTGCACCTTCCATTCAGCTTGCGCTCGTTCAAAACTTTGCTTCCCATATCCGAACACGTGCTGAGTTCTGTTCACTTT